GGGGCCGACTCGCTGCCGTCCCTGGGTGGAGTGCGGTGGGGCTGCGGCAGTGGGGGTGGCAGGGCAGGCAGGTGCTGTGCGCCCTCACCTGGCGTGGCTGACTCCTGCCATGCTGATGCGGCCGTCCAGCGTCATGTAGCTGGCGTGGTGGTCGGCGGGGTCAAGAGAAGGTGGGGAGGTGCGGTGCATGTCAACGGATGGTGACAAGAGAAACAGCGGCGCACGGCAGGCCGGCAGCAGCCTGCTTCCCTCACCCAGCAAGGGACATGTGCAGCGATTTGCCGCGTGTGCTGCGGTGGCATTAAGCATCTAGGCAGCCAGCCAAGCCTGCGCCCCCTGCCACCGAAACAGCACAAGAAAAAACGCCCGTGATGAGCGTGCGCACATGTGCCACTTGTCACGCAGGTGCATGCATTGCGCCTTTGTCAGCCCCGTGAAAGAGAACATGCCAATCTATGTGGAAGGAAGGTTGAGATTAGTGATGGACCAGGTCCACACGCATAATCGAGTTGTCAGGGCAAAACCTAAGCGACAGAGCAGAATACAGTAGGTACATTTTGAATCGGGAGAGCTTGCTGCGGTAGCCAGCAGGCTACTGTCGAAAGCCCCACAACCTTGTCCAGAGAGGGAGGGCCTCCCCGCACCCCAGTGTCCCCCCAAACGCCGGGGCCCCACCTGAGATGTGATGTGGTCCCAGTTGCCGGGGGCGCCCGCGGCCGCCAGCGCGTCGACCAGGGCGCGCCGCATGTCCTTGATGCGGCCGGCCATGCCCGCCAGCTCAGCCTGCCTGCGGTCGTCGGCGGATTCGTCACACCCAGGATCAGGGCATGGTTAGGGGGTGGACACGTCTGCGAGCCTGGATAGCTAACACACCGAGCAAGAGGATATGATATCCAATGGCTGGTGACTCAGGAAAAGCGCGTTGTTGCAGGGGGAGGCCCGCATGTCTGGCAGCCAAAGAGTGACAAGGGCTCCCGCCCTTGCTTCGCCCCTGACAGGCCTAGAGCCCTCGGCCAGCGCCCTCACCACTCTGCCGACAACGCCGGGTTGGCCATGACCATGGCGGCAATGGCTGCGCCGTGGATGGGCGGGTTTGAGTACATCACGCGGATCGCCACCTTGAGCTGGCTGTCAACGCGCTTCCTGACCTGCAGACGTCACGTAGCGTGAGCACGCGTGTGTGTGTGCGAGTGTGTGCATGTGTATACACGTGTGTGCATGTAAATGTGTGTTTTCATATCGACAAAGAGAAATTGTCTGTGAGTGCACATATTGAGTGTGTGTGTGTTGTGAGAAATTGTGTTGTGTGAGCGCGCGCAGCAGCATGGGTGTGATGGGTGCTCTCACTGCGGGGCTGATGGGGGGTGTGGGACGGCAAAGCGCAGAGGTTGCAGGGGTTGGAGGCAGCCACAACTTGTAATCTGCCCAGGCGCCGCGCTGTCCAGGTTGCTGAACGGCCGCCATGAGGGCCGCTTCAGGGGCCGCGCACCTCGGGCGACTGCGTGACGACAGAGAGGGCGCCCACCCTCTCCCCGTAGAGCCCCATATTCTTGGCAAAGGACTGCGCCAGCAGCATCTCCTGGGGAGAGCCGTCGCGGCGGCGCGCAGACGCAAACATGCGGAGAGCACCGGCGTCCGCGTCCAGATCACCGCTGGCAAAGCCCTGGTGTGTATGTGTGTGTTTGTGTGTGTTTGTGTGTGTGTGTTTGTGTGTGTTTGTGTGTGTGTGTGTTTGTGTGTGTTTGTATGTGTGTGTGTGTTCGGGGAGAGAGCGGTGCTTGCGTGTGCACGCATGCTTGTACACGTGTGCGTGAGGGGGTTTGTGTGTGCGACTGTGTGAGTGACTGTGTGCGCACTGGTGTGTGCTTGTGTGTCAATATGTGGGTGGGTGGCTGAGCGTGTTTGAGGCGTTGCGTGGGCATCGAGCATTGGCGGCTGCATTGCACGCTCAATGCAGCAGGACCAGCAGCATCGCAAGGGCCAGCCCGCTCGGCACGTGCGCCCTCGGAGGCCCGCTCTGCTCGGGGCGGCGGCTAGCGCTAGTGTGCAAACATCCGGCAGAATCCGCTGGATTTGTCTGTCTCTCATGCGGCCACCTCCCTGATCCCCCACCTCACCCCACCTGGTATGCGCTGTCAAAAAAGGGCATGAGGCCTCGCTCCTGCACCACCGCCAGGATGCCGCGCCACTGGTCGGGGGTGGGGTCCACGCCAGTGGGGTTGTGGGCGCTGCAGGGGAACCGGGTGGGGGCAGAGGAGCTCAGGTGCAGGAACGAAGTGAGTGGACGAGTGCAAGGCAGCAAGGGTGCAGCAAGGTGGGAACAGGCAGGCGTTGAGGGGCAGGGGTAGGGTGGCGAGCAACAGGCTGCAAGTTGGCATTTGAGCCGCGATTTAGTGGGCCGCGTTGCGGGGCCTTACCAGGCGTGCAGCAGCACAACAGCCCCCGGCTCCGCGGCGCGCAGGTCAGAGAGCATGCCCTGGTGGTGGCGATGGTGGTGGTGCTGTGCGTGGATGTGTGTCGCAAAGGAGGCACGAAGGTACACCAAATGGGGTGCCCTTAGTGACGGCTGCACTTGGCGCCATCCCCCCGGCTGCGCAGGTACCCCCCCTGCTTCAGACAGCGCATGTAGGCGGGCGCGCCCTGCAAAGCGCTCTGGCCGATAAAACAAGGCACCAAGGCTCCACAGCCCCACTGCCACGGTGCAATCGACGGGGCCAGGGGGCTGCATGCGCCGTGTGCAGCTGCCGTTGACGCGCACAGAAAATCAAAGGCTGCGCACCTCATAATCCAGCGCCCTGGTGGCGGCGTGGTAGTAGCGGTACGTCTTCACCGTCAGCCCCACACTGCCAAACACGCCTGCGGACGCCGCGGGAGGCGCGCAGCGGGTGCGGGAGGGCCACAGGGCCACAACTGGGGTTGGCCGCCAACGCCAGGCGGCCGCGCGGTGGCGGCCGGCAGGGTGAGGACGGGCGCTCGCGCGGCAGGTACGAGCGCGTCCGCCGCGGCGGGCAAGCGGCTGCCGCGGAGCCCCAACCACGACGCCGGCGGCGGCGGCGCTCGACGTTCGGCGCGCGGCGCGGCTCAAACCAGGAACACACCGTGGTGGTTGCCCCAGGTCGGGTTTGGCACGAAGACCTGCTTGCTGGCCGCGTAGTGGCGCGCCAGGAACGCGCCGCCAACAGCCAGCGCGCCCGTCCCCGACAGCGTCTGCACAACTGCCACGCGGCCGTCCCTGAGGCCATCAAAGTCGGGGCCGTACGCCAGGGCGGCGGAGAGGGCGCAGAACTGGGCGTTGCCGCCGATGGGCTGATACTCCTGTCGGGTGTGATTGTGGGTAGGGTGTCCAGAGGGTGACGCGGCGTTGTGGGCGCAGTGGTGGGATGGGTCGTGGCCGGTTGGAGGGGTGACATACAGCCAGGCTTTGGACGCGAGCGGCAGCCCTCGGGGCACGCAGGGAGCCCGAGGGCGCGCCTCTGCTCCCCTGCACGTGCCGGCATGCGGGGCCCTGGAAGTAAGTGCACGATGCAGCTACTGCCGAGAGCCCCACGCGTGGGCCCGGACGTCGCGTGCGCGCGCCTTGTTGCGCGAGCGGTCGTCCACCACGATGCGCTGCGCCTTGAGCACGGCGCTCAGCACCAGCGGCTTGCCCTCCTCGGTCCTGGGGCGTGGCGGGACGGGCGGCGGGACGGCGGGCGGCGCTGAATCGGGACGGCGCAACGCCCGGCCATGCCTCGCCTTCAATCCAGCGCAGCAAAACGAGGGTGCACGGGTGTGTGCATGCCCACGCGATCCGGCGTCCGCGATGCAGGGTGGCGCGCAAGGGTGAGTGGCGGGGCGGCGGTGGCGGCGGCGGCGGCGTGTTGGGTGCAGGGGGCTGGGCAGACCTGTATGCGCCGACTCCCAGGTTGAGCTTGTTGGGGCTCTTGTCGGCTAGGAAGCCCTCCGTAATGCCGAGGATGGAATCAGGGGGCGCCTGGGGGGGGGGGGCGCGGAGCAAGCAAGGTGTGCCACGGCGCGCATGCAGTATGTGCTGGTGGGCAGTCGGCGGCGATGGCAGGAGAGTCCGCGGGCGAGCAGGGCAAGGAGAGGACCACACCCTGGGGTGCATGCACGCATGCGGCGGCTGCTTTGGGAGCAAGCAAGGCGCCAGCACCTGCTGCACGCCCTCGAAATAGCTCTGCGCGGCGGCGGGCGCGGCGCACGGCGACGGCGCGAGCTGCAGCGACAGCGTGCGGAGGCGCGCCGCGGCGCCATTCAGGGCCTCCTCGCGGCCTGGTCGGCGAGCGGGGGCCGTGCAAAGGGCGCGCGCGCGTCAGGATGAGGTGCCCAAGCAGTTGCCTAGCTGGCGCGTGGCGGTTGCCGCCGGCCCGGCCAAAACAGCGTGGCTGAGAGCGTCGCCCTAGCAAGCACAATCACCGTGCTGTACACGCGTCATCTGGCATCACGGCGTGTGCACAGATGACCCCCACTGCCCCTTCACACTGGGTTCAGCGTGCTGCGGCAAGGCGGCGGCAGAAGCGCATCGCCAAGCTGCGGGCAGCAGCAAACGCGGAGGAGCTTACCGGACATCTTCTCAATTCTGATGGTGAGCGTGGTGATGTAGGCGCTTGGCCTTGCGAATAGGGCCTGACGCTGGTTTGCTGACGCAGCAAGGTCGGCTATAAATGGGATGGATATACAAGCTGCAGATGATACAAAAACGTACAGTACAATACAGCTTATCAATCAAAGCTTCAAGGCTTCTTGCACGGGGACAAGAGCGAATGCCCCAGATCGGTGGCACCGTCATGCAGACTGGAGCCATGGAAGTCAGCACGTGGCGTGTGGTGCAGGTGCTACCTATGCCGCTCACACCGCAGTGAGAGGCCATGATTACTGTCCGTATTTGTGTAACAGACTTGGAGGACGTTGGCACATTTACATAGTCTCTAACCGCTCGCCAAACAGGTGGGTTTTTTGGCTGGTCATCACTGCACATTGGCGCCCACATGGGCAGTTGTACCACGTGTCGCCCTTCATCAATGTTCTTGCCCATGTCACGACAACAGGATTGAACTGGGGCCGCCTGCCCCGGGCAACCGCATGAACGATGACCTTCAGGCGCAACAAAGACCCGTCCCTGGCGCCGGGCGCCCTGCACGGCTGGCCTCGTCCTCGCCCTAACCGCGCTCGCCTCTTTTATTTTAAAGGGGCGCCGATTGACGTATCAACTTTGGCTCTGGCAAAACTTTGATAAAAAAAGTAGCAATAACAAACGCGTAGAAATTTGGTCGGTCAGCCAATGGGCACACCTACCAGGTACAGCGGCAGTCACGCGCCCACGAGCGGCAAACAAAAGGGCGAAACAGCCAGGTGGCCGCGTGCATCCCATCAGCCCGCGCCGCCCCCGCTGCCGCCGGCCCCGCCCCCGGCCGCGGCCTCGGCCGCCGCCGCGGACCCGGGCTTCCCGCCGCCGCAGGCGCCCGGCGCAGCGGTCCTTGCACCCTCGCCGGCCGCGACCAGCACGACCTGGTCGCCCCTCACCATCACCAGGTCTAGCCGCCTGAATCGCCGGTCCTGCTTGCGGCACCACCTCACGCGCTCGCGCGGCGCGGGATCCTGGGGCTCCTGATCCTGCTGCTGCTGCTGCTGCTGCTGCTGCTGCTGCTGCTGCTGCTGCTGCTGCTGCTGCTGCTGCTGCTGCTGCCCCTCGCCACGCTGCTGCCTTTCCCGCGCCACCTTGATCATCACAGTGTAGTGCTCCTCCACGTCCCGCAGAACAAGGTTCATGTAGCGGTCATACGCCACCACGGTCCCCACCGCCTGCCCGCGCACGCCCGCCGCATGGCGCGTGACGACCAGCACGCGCCGCCGCGCGTCCCGCCAGCCGGCCAGCGCGGCCAGCGGGCCGCCGGCGGCGGCGGCGAGGGACATTACGTCGGGCAGCGGCGCGACGCCGACGCCCGCCTCGGCGCGCGACACGGCGTGCTGCGCACGTTGCTTGAGGGCCGCCGCCTTGGCTACCCGCGCTGCCTTGGCGCGCGCAGCGTCGGCGTCCGCCTCTGCTGCCGCCGCAGCCGGCGCAGGCGCCGGCCCCACCGCTGCTGAGCTCTGTGGACGGCGACGGTCGGCGTGGGGCGCGTCGTCATGCGGTGCATTTGGTCACACCACCTGGCGGGGCTGGCCTCTGAGCAAGGTGACCAGCAGCAGGCCGTAAGGCGCACGTCCCAGGTTTGCTGCAGAATTGTGCTCACCGGTGCCGCCGCCGCGTCCTCTTGCCCTTCTTCTGGAATGAGGCCCCTGAATTTGGCTACATACTCCAGCGTGGGAGCATCCGGCACGGGCGGGACGAGGCCCTCGGTTGACAGCGCCAGCAGCGCGTCAAAGCTGGGCGACAGGAAGTCAACGCTCGGTGGCCCTGGCTGCAGCTGCGGCTGCTGCTGTTGTCCCCGCTGTTCCTGCACCAGCAGTTGCTGCTGCTGCTGCTGCTGCTGCTGCTGCTGCTGCTGCTGCTGCTGCTGCTGCTGCTGCTGCTGCTGCTGCTGCTGCTGCTCATCACGCTGTCCTGGCAAGTTCACCGCGTGGTCTGCAGGAGGAACTTGGACCCTGGCTAGACTGCCTGGATGATGGCCCCATCCAGGCTGTTGATTGTTTTGTTGCGGCCGATCAGGTCGGGCACTGCTGCTCCCCTGTTGCGAGGGGCCTGGCGCTCCATCCTCGCAAGGCTGCATGCTCTACCTCTTGCTGCACTGCTCGCTGTGCGCCAACGTACTGCACGCAGGCGTGGCCGCTACGAATGCCTCAATTGCTATTAACGTGATTACATTACATCAGACAACTATGAGTCACTCTGTAGATATCACTTGCGAGTATGGTCCCGTATGCAGATCTGAAATGATCTCGCGCCTTCGCCAGTGTCAGGCACCCAGCTTCGCGCAGAAACTTGTTGATCAATATCTCAGCAACACTGGACGTTGAACGCTGATGAAGCGAAGTGAGGGTACCCCACCCATACGTAACACCTGCACAGGAGCAGGTACAGCCGCAGCCGACCACGCTGGACAGAGGTTGGCAAGTGGCAGAGTGGATACAATCAATGATTATTGCCAGGTAGGAGGGCCTTACCTGGGAGCAATTCAGGTGAGCATGTCGGCTGAAGGTGTTCAAGTTGTGAAGGAGGAGGCGCTGAACCCCGCAAACGACAATGTGCCGCTTCCTCACATGCTGCACCACGCCGTAACCTTCACGGCAAGAAGAGACAACAGACGAGCAGGGCCCTGCAAGTGCTGTTGTGTTACAGTTCTCGGCCCTTAACCCATCAGGACTACCTTGGTGCAGTGCGTCAAGCTGTGTGTATGCAGTTTGTGGCGCGACAGGTCCACGACAAAAACAAGTCTCATCAGCAGTATGATCAAAAGCCAGGGCGTAACCACAGGCGCGGCAGCGGAAAAGCGCGCGCGCATCGCGCGCCGCCCCTGGCCCAAAACTTGCTCGCGGGATCTCAACAGTCTGGGGTTTTCGTCTCATCAGGCGACTTCCTCGGGGCCGGCGGCCTTGCTCAAAGCAGGGGTGCATCGATCACGCGACGCCGCGCCGTCGGGGGCGGTTGCGTCGCTGCAGAACACGCGGTAGTGCTCCTCACACACAGACCTGATTGGTCTCATGAAAACATCGGGCAGGATGTCTAACACCATCGCCCGGCGCAGGGCGAGAGCCTGGGCGCGAGTATGGGGTATGCGCCCGGGTGCAGCACAACGGGACCCCCACCATCATTGCCATCTCCGGCCTTCCAACACCTCAGGCGCGCACCCCACGCAGTGCGCAGCTCATGCTGCGTAGGGCCTGCGCCCAGCAGGCGCTTTGCGATCGGATTGCTCAAAAAGCGGCGGCAGAGCAGCGTGCGGGCGCGCGCTTTGCGCCTGCCGCAGCGCCCAGCCGGCTGTCGTGTTTGTTCAGTGGATCCGTGCGCGACGCGCCGCCTCGTTTTGCTCCGGCACGAGACGCCAGAGGGCTGCCAAAACTCTCGTGCACGGGAAGGGGCGTCTCACCACTCGCGGTCGGTCGGATTTGGGGTGAAAGAGGAAGGGAACAGGGCCGGGCGGAGGCGGGGACGTGGGTGGTAGCGGGCTGCGTCGAGACCCTGCTCGCTCTTGCCATACCCCTCGCAATATGAGGGAGAGCCAGGCCGCAAGAGCAGAGCGGGAAGGGCGGGTGAGCAGGGAACCGCGGGCGCGTCTGCTTTGCAGTTGTCACACAAAGCCAGGCCAAAAACCACCAGAGACACAAAACAGGTGGAGCGGCGGGGACAGCGGCGCCAGCGGCGGCCGCCGTCCACGGGGCCTGCGAAAAAGGAGCGCGGTGCGGGGGCCGCTGTCGAGGCGGCTGGCAACGCAGGGTGCGGTAAAGAGAACTGCAGTGCCGAGGGGGCCGCGGCGCCAGGCGCGCGCGCGGCGGGGCGCAAGTGTGGAGAGTTGGCGCAAGCCAGTTCATTGAAGGGGATCCAGGACGGGAAGACTCATTGCAGCCGGGGAGGAAGGGTCGTGGGAGGTAGGGGGTAGGAGACAGGGGAGATGCGTGGTGCGCTTGTGCGAGATGTCGGTTGGTTGGTGGTGGCAGTTGCAGTAGAAGAGATTGTGCGCAAGCATATGGGCGGCGGCAAGCGAGGCGGCAGGCCGCTACGCGAGCAACCGTGCGTGCGAGTGCGCGATTGCTGCTCCAATGCCCTGCTATGGCCGCCGCTTGCGCTGAGGCTGGCAAAAGAGGGGGAGCGCAGGGCATACCGCCGTCCTCGACCTAAGCGGCGCGCCCCATTCAACGGACGTAGGCCGGGCGGGGCGGCGCGGGGCGGCAGGCGCAGCGGGCGCCCTGCCGGGCCACATCAGTGCGGGGCTGCGGACGCACAACCTGCTGCAGGCGCTGCCGCCGCGCCCCTGCAAACAAGGCGGGCGCGGTGCCTGGTGGGCGATCGGGGTGCATAGCGGGTTGCAAAGCGGGTTGCAAGGCGGGGGGGCCGCCGGGAAGGCAATAAGAGCTGCCTTGGCCCCGGGGCTTTGTTGGTGGCAGAAGTAGCGGCGGGCCAAGCAGGATGGCGAGGCCGTCCAGGGAAGAGGGGGGCCATTCTGCCCTCGCCCCGCGCTGCCCGGGCCGCTGATGTCATCGTGATGGCTGCGAGGCAGCGGCACGCACGCCTGAGGGCGCCAGGCTGGACGCTGTTTTGTGGTGAAGGCAGGGGATAAGCGCGCAGGCCGGCGGGCGGGCGCTCCCGGCTCTGGATGGTGGCGCCCGCGCCGCCGCGCCGCCAACAGGGCGGAGAGCGCTGATTAGGCCAACGCATGTTGACTCTTCTGAAAGCTCAGTGCGAGGCGCGAGCGGAGGCATAGGCGGCGGCAACGGGGGCAGTGCAAGCAGCTGTAGCTGGGAAGATTTGGGGGCCAAAACGCGGCCGCCACCGATGCGGCATCCTTGCGTCATGGTCGTCCCCAAACGGCCCACGATCAGCCCAGCATCCGGCCACGCGCGGCCGAAACGCCCCGCAGTGGCTGCAGGGGAGGCGCAAAAGGACGCGCGCGCCCCAGCCGCGCAACAGCTCACTCCACCCGTGGTTGCGTGGGAGGGGGGGGTGCCGAGGTTGGCATGCAGCATGGGACCTGGGGCGATGGAGGCGTGGGCAGTCATCAAACTCACGCCCCCAGGGAGCAATGCAGCAAGCGAGCCCAAAACCGAGCAAGGGAGCAGAGGGGACCGGGCGCGCCGGCCGGCCGCCCAGCGAGCCATGGGCAAGAGGGGTGAAGGGGCGCCTGAAAGCGCCAGCGGCCGCAGGGCCGGGGCCGGGCAAACCCTGGCTGGCCGCCCATGCCCCGGGCCTTCGGTCACAGGACCCCGGAGCAGGGCGGCCGCCCATGGGACGACGCGGCGCGCGCAAAATACGGCTCGGCGTTTATCTTTTCGCAGGCAATAGCATGCGAGGGTGCAACGGCGGCAGCGGCGGAGCTGCCACCCAATCAGGGTCCTGGCGCTTTTTCTTTTTTCGTCTGAATTTAAATGGCCAATAGCGCGCACCCCGCGCGAATCGCGGGGCCAGATCGTCAGGGCGCAAAGCCCTGCGGCGGCTGCAGGGCGCGCAATCCGCACCCCGACCAATGGCGAGGTGGCCCGACCGACCTCAAGAGTAAGACGGGATGCCCGGCGCGGTGATGACGCTCGGCATAGGCATGCCCCAGACCATGCCGCTGCAGCCGGGTGGCGGCGAGGGCACGTGCGGCGCCGGCAGGGCCGAGAGCGCGTGGGGTACGGGCATGTGGGGCCAGGGGTAGCCCCAGTGGCCGCCCGCGGGCGCGGGCGCCGGCTGCGGCGGCGCCGGGCGCTTGGCGCCGAGCCGCGCGGGCTGCGAGTGCGGCGGCGCGCGCGGC